GGAAAACCCAGGCTCCTCAGACCAAGAGCCGAGCTTTGCTCGAGTCTGTTCTCGGTCCCAGGGTCAGACCCGGCTCTGGTACCTGCCGTCGCTGGGTGACGGAGCCATGCTGCCCACCCCCAGACCTTCCGGGTCGCGTCGAGGAGGTCTGATTCTAAAGGTAGCGGGCCTCACGGGACTGACGCGTGTCACTTAGGACCCCGGCTTGGTGAGTGAGGTCCCCCAGCTCTGACCCTCCCGTTCCAGGTGCTGGACAAGTACAGCCCTCCCGACCACTTCCTGCCCGAGTCCTACACCTGCTTCTTCCTGCTGAAGCTGCCCCGCTACTCCTGCCGGCAGGTGCTGGAGGAGAAGCTCAAGTACGCCATCCACTTCTGCAAGTCCATCGACACGGACGACTACGCCCGCATCGCCCTCACGGGCGAGCCGGCCGCTGAGGACAGCAGCGAGGACTCGGAGAACGAGGACGTGGACTCGTTTGCTTCAGACTCGACGCAGGACTATCTCACGGGACACTGAGCGGCCGCAGGGCCTACAGGGAGGAGCTGGTGGGCGGCGGGGCCTGGGCTCAGCCGGGCGCCCACGGAGCGGCGTTGGAAGCCCCTTCACGGGGCCGCGGTCATGGACATCCGTCCTCCAGACAAAAGGGTCTCCCCCGGCCCCCCCATGCTGCATCGCCATGTAAATACCGGCTCCCAGGAACGAATAAAGCCTTCTGCGGGCCGCCAGCCCTTCTGCCTCCGCGTCTGCACTGTCGATTGTACATGGACATCTGCGTGACCGTGGTCGCGTTATAAATACTTCACTCATTTTATTCTGAATTTATTAAATGTTTTTGGAACATGAAGTGATCGGTGTTACTTGAACGCATCCAGAGGTTATTTCAACCAAAACCCAGAGGCCGGGCGGCCCCTCCTCCAGGGGCGCAGCTGGGCGCCCACGCTCTGTGGCCAGGGTCCGCCTGAGCTCTGTCCCGACTCCGATCACGGAACGGGTGCTGTACATATGTGTGTCATGTATGTGCCTGAATTCCACCCTATAAATAAAGCTGTCAGAGAACCGTGAGCCGTCTCTTACCTGGCACGGGTGTGCACAGCCTCAGTCACTCTCCACCAGGACGTCCCTCAGAGCCACCCCAGTTATATCCGTTCACTGCAGACACCACACACCCTGCAGTGACAAAGGCGTGGTCCTCAGGAGAGGGGAGGGTGGGCAGTGGTGCCCGGAGCCCTCAGCCCCTCCCGTCCTGGCCCTGTCCGCCCGCAGTCCCAGGACAGTCCCTCTGGCCGGGGGTCAGGGTGCTTCCGGTCCCCTCGGCCCTGGGCTGGGATTTGAGCTGCTTGTCCTGGGTCGAGGCACTAGAACAGTGATGGCGAACCTATGACACGGGTGTCAGAGGTGACATGCGAACTCATTTTTTTGGTTGATTTTTCTTGGTTAAATGGCATTTAAATATATAAAATAAATATCAAAAATATAAATCTTTGTTATACTATGGTTGCAAATATCAAAAAATTTCTATATGTGACACGGCACCAGAGTTAAGTTAGGGCTTTTCAAAATGCTGGCACGCCGAGCTCAGAAGGTTCGCCATCACTGACCTGGAACCTGGGCCGCAGCAGCGTCGGGTGCTGGGAGAATTTCCTTGGGGGCCAGTGTTTTACACCTGACCCAGGACCGCCTTGGTGAACGCCCAGATCCCCCCTTTCTTCTTAACTTGGCTCAAATTTTTCCTAAGCTGTGGGGTTTGGTTTTTTTTGGTTTTGCTTTTGGTTTTGTTTGTTAATCCAAACCTGAGGATATTTTTTTCCATTGGTTTTTAGAGAGAGTGAGGGGAGGAGAGAGAGAGAGAAGAAAAATCGATATGGGAGAGACCCATTAGTTGGTTGCCTCCCACACTCACCCTGACGGATGGGGATAGAACCTGCACCCAGGTACGTGCCCTTGACTGAGAATCGAACCCGAGACCCTTCAGGGCCCTGGGTTGGGGGTGGAGTGCTAAGCCTCTCTCTCTACTCTTATGAGTAATCAAATGAAGTAAAACTTTCCTTCACAGAGCACGAGGCTCTGCAGACCTAGGCCCCCCATCGGGGTGTGCACAGCCCCAGGAGCTATGCCCTCGGGGACTAGACTCTGCCCTTTGGCCCTGGCTGGGCCATTGCGGGCTGGGTCCACAAGATGGCCTTGCGGGAAAGGACCCTCCAGTGAGCATGTGTGGCCCCTGAGCCAAAAATGGAAGGGCTGCTGACTCCAGGGAGAGGTAGGTGCCTGTGCGACACACTCGGACCCCTGCGGTTGGCTCCTGGGGCCTGCCGGAGGGACAGGGACTGCTGAGGGGCTAGGCTGTGCTCTTCTGGGCCAGGCTGGGCTCGTTGGGGTTCGCTGGGCTTCTGGGGGGCTGCGCAAAAGACAGTGTAGGCAGACGATGCCCTCTGTGTGGGTGTGCCAGTTCCCGTTATCCCGGGGAACCCTGCGTCCAGCGCCTGGCTACCGTCTATGAAAAGCAGCGCCTGAAATGCGCACAGCGGCACAGCGCGCAGACTGTCCCCGGGCCGTCCCACAGGGGCCTGGAGCCCCCTCTGCCTTTTCTGAGGGCGCCCCTCCTCCTAGTCC